TTTTTCCATTCTTGTGATACTTCACTTAGTAAAATGGGCTCCAGCTCTATCCAGGATAATACTGGAAGCGCTAGATCACCATTGTTTTTTGTGGCTGAGTAGTACTCCAGTACACATTTTATTAATCCACTCATGTATTGACGGGCACTTGGGTTGTTTCCACATCTTTGCAATTGTGAATTGTAGCATTCCAATATTTAAAGCTAGAAAGCTGGTCAATGGGTGTAGGTCTGTGGACCCAGTGGAGCAGCTGATGTGGAAACCTAAGCAAGCGGCTCAGAAACAGGCTGATTTATCCACCAGAGCTCAAAAAATGCTCACAGAACTGGACATGCTTGAAAAGTGCGAGTGCAGGTGGGATGAATATGGAGAATGGATGAGTCTATATGAGGAATGAGAAGAACCCAGGTACCCTAAGAAACCAAAATCTACTTGAAATTTTTAAAGGCTAGTTTCCCTTCCACATACAACCATGAAGCTTTTCCAAAATGTTGAGGATAGAACACACTGTTCATATATGTGTGTACATGCCATGCTTATTATCATGTGATGAGTTATGAGGCATATTAAAAATGAACCTTAATGAACTGATTAGAACATTTCCAAATTTCATTCTGCTACTCCCTTGTTTTTCTTTCTAATTTTAGCACTTGTTTAGTTTTGCTTGTTTTTGAACATTTAAAAATTTTGCTACACGAAAACTTGTAAATGAATATTCATTGCAGCATTAATCATAATAGTTCCAAATTGGAAACAACCCAAATTTCATCAAGTGATGAATTTTTAAAAAATGGTATATTCATACAATGGAATATTATATGACAATAAAAAGGAATAAATTACTGACACATGCTACGACATAGATGAATCTTGAAAACATTACGCTAAGTGAGAGAAGACTCACGAAAGACTACATATTATACGATTCCATTTATTTGAAATGTCCATAATAGGCAATGCATACAGACAGAAAGTAGATTAGGGTTACTAGGGGCTGGGGAGAGAAGGGAATGAGGAGTGACTGCTGATAGGTATGGGTTTATTTATGGGGTGATGACAATGTTCTAAAATTAAATGGCTCCACAACTTGACACTAAAACACCAAACAGTATACTTTATTTTTTCTTTTTCTTTTTTCAACACATTCCAAACCTAACTATACTTTAAATGCGTGAATTTTATGGTATCATGATAAAGGTATCAAAAAAAGGAATTATATTGAAGCTATTTTTCTGTAATATCTTTTTAAAAAATTCAACATCATGTTTGTAAGATTTATCTAACATTTATGCATCTTATAATAGTGCATTCATTTTTAATATTGTTGAGTGCTTCATTGAATATACTGCCATTTGTTTATCCATTGTATTGTGAATGGATGTCTTAGTTAATTCTGACTTTTGCTGCTGTAAACAATGCTAATATAAATATATTTATACATCTTTCCTGATGCATATTAGCAAGAATTTCTCAAGGATATATGCCAGTTTAAAGGGTATATGTATGTTTAACTTCAAAAATAATGCCAAAATAGTTTCCCAAGTGCTTGTACCATTATGGTTTTACATGCCCATCAGCACTGAGTTGGAATTCTCTTTGTTGCACAGCTTCTTCAGTACTTGGTATTGTCAGCCTTTAAGTTTCTGTCATCCAAGTGTATATGAAGTGACATCTTATTGAGATCTTCATTTGCATTTCCAATTACTGATGAGACTGAACCCCATTTCATTTTTTTCTTACCATTCCTGTTTTTTTCCTTTAAAATGTCTCTGAAGATCTTTTGACCATTTTTCTACTTATTTTTTTCTTTTATGTGTGTGCACACATATTTGTGTCCATATATACATTGTATTTTATTTTGAATATTAAACATTTGTTTTTCACATTGGTTGTAAGTATACTTTCAGTTTGTAGCTTATCTTTTCATTTTGTTTATGCTATCTTTGATGAGTAAAAATTCTAAGCATAATGTAGTCAGATTTATTCTTTTTCCATTATGATTACTCATTGGTTCTGTTTTAAGAAGTACTTCTGGAGTGGAAGAGAAAGGGAGACAAAAAAAAAAAAAGAAGTACTTCTCAGCTGGGCATGGTGGCTCATGCCTTTGTAATCCTAGCACACTTTGGGAGGCCAAGGTGGGAGGATTGTTTGAGACCAGGAATTCAAGACCAGCCTGAGCAACATAGCGAGACCCTGTGTCTACAAAAAATAGAAAAATTAGCAGAGTGGTGGTATGCACCTGCAGTTCCCGCTACTCAGGAAGGAGGCTGAGGCAGGAGTTCCAGTTGAGCCCAGGAATTTGAGGTTGCAGTGAGCTATGATGATGACACTGCACTCTAGCCAGGGTGACAGAGTAAGACCCTGGTCTCCAAAAAAAAAAAAAAAAAAAAGCATAATATTAAGGTCCATACATGCGTGGGTTAGTTCTAAAACTCTCTATTTGTTTTCCTTTGTACCAATATCACACTCTCTTACTTTAGCTATATAATGTCTATCAGTTTTGGTATAGTTTTGGTAGTCTGATAAAATGAACTGTAGTCTGACCCTCTTTTTCTATTCTGAAAGAGTTCATGTAAAATTGATACTATTCTTCCTCAAATGTTTGGTAGAACTCATTGGCAAGGCCATGACAGCCTGAGTTTTCTTAGGTCTTGAATTTGATCTAATTTAATAGTTGTAAACTATTCAGGTTTGTAAAATGTCTTCTTGTGCTAGTTTTCAAAAGCTAT